ATGTGTCATCAGGTCAGGGTGGAGAGGGTGTCATCAGGTCAGGGTGGAGAGGGTGTCATCATGTGAGGATGGAGTGGGTGTCATCAGGTCAGGGTGGAGTGTGTGTCATCAGGTCAGGGTGGAGCATGAGTCATCAGGTCAGGGTAGAGAGGGTGTCATCAGGTCAGGGTGGAGTGTGTGTCATCAGTTCAGATTGGAGTGTGTGTCATCAGGTCAGGGTGGAGTGTGTGTCATCAGGTCAGGGTGGAGCATGTGTCATCAGGTCAGGGTGAAGAGGGTGTCATCAGGTCAGGGTGGAGAGGGTGTCATGTCAGGATGGAGTGGGTGTCATCAGGTCAGGATGGAGTGGGTGTCATCAGGTCAGGATGGAGAGGGTGTCATCAGGTCAGTGTGGAGTTGGTGTCATCAGCTCAGGGTGGAGTGTGTGTCATCAGGTCAGGTTAGAGTGTGTGTCTTTAGGTCAGGATGGAGTGGGTGTCATCAGGTCAGGGTGGAGCATGTGTCATCAGGTCAGATTTGAGTGTGTGTCATCAGGTCAGGATGGAGTGTGTGTCATCAGGTCAGGGTGGAGTGGGTGTCATCAAGTCAGGGTGGAGCCTGTGTCATCAGGTCAGGGTGGATTGGGTGTCATCAGGTCAGGGTGGAAAGGGTGTCATCAGGTCAGTGTGCAATGGGTGTCATCAGGTCAGGGTGGAGAGGGTGTCATCATGTCAGGATGGAGTGGGTGTCATCAGGTCAGGATGGAGTGGGTGTCATCAGGTCAGGATGGAGTGGGTGTCATCAGGTCAGGATGGAGTGAGTGTCATCAGGTCAGCGTGGAGTTGGTGTCATCAGTTCAGGGTAGAGTGTGTGTCATCAGGTCAGGTTAGAGTGTGTGTCTTTAGGTCAGGATGGAGTGGGTGTCATCAGGTCAGGGTGGAGCATGTGTCATCAGGTCAGGATGGAGTGGGTGTCATCAGGTCAGGATGGAGTGGGTGTCATCAGGTCAGGATGGAGTGGGTGTCATCAGGTCAGGATGGAGAGGGTGTCATCAGTTCAGTGTGGAGTGGGTGTCATCAGTTCAGGGTGGAGTGTGTGTCATCAGGTCAGGTTGGAGTGGGTGTCATCAGGTCAGGTTGGAGTGGGTGTCATCAGGTCAGGGTGGAGTGGGTGTCATCAGGTCAGGGTGCAGTGGGTGTCATCAGGTCAGGGTGGAGTGGGTGTCATCAGGTCAGGGTGGAGTGGGTGTCATCAGGTCAGGGTGGAGTGGGTGTCATCAGGTCAGGGTGGAGTGGGTGTCATCAAGTCAGGGTGGAGCATGTGTCATCAGGTCAGGTTGGAGAGGGTGTCATCAGGTCTGGTTGGCGTGGGTGTCATCAGCTCAGGGTGGAGTGGGTGTCATCAGTTCAGGGTGGAGCATGTGTCATCAGGTCAGGGTGGAGAGGGTGTCATCAGGTCAGGGTTGAGAGGGTGTTATCCTGTCAGGATGGAGTGGGTGTCATCAGGTCAGGGTGGAGTGTGTGTCATCAGGTCAGGGTGGAGTGTGTGTCATCAGGTCAAGGTGGAGCATGTGTCATCAGGTCAGGGTGGAGAGGGTGTCATCATGTCAGGGTGGAGTGTGTGTCATCAGGTCAGATTGGAGTGTGTGTCATCAGGTCAGATTGGAGTGTGTGTCATCAGGTCAGGGTGGAGTGTGTGTCATCAGGTCAGGGTGGAGCATGTGTCATCAGGTCAGGGTGAAGAGGGTGTCATCAGGTCAGGGCGGAGAGGGTGTCATGTCAGGATGGAGTTGGTGTCATCAGGTCAGGATGGAGTGGGTGTCATCAGGTCAGGATGGAGAGGGTGTCATCAGGTAAGTGTGGAGTTGGTGTCATCGGCTCAGGGTGGAGTGTGTGTCATCAGGTCAGGTTAGAGTGGGTGTCTTTAGGTCAGGGTGGAGTTGGTGTCATCAGTTCAGGGTAGAGTGTGTGTCATCAGGTCAGGTTAGAGTGTGTGTCTTTAGGTCAGGATGGAGTGGGTGTCATCAGGTCAGGGTGGAGCATGTGTCATCAGGTCAGGGTGGAGCATGTGTCATCAGGTCAGGTTGGAGAGGGTGTCATCATATCAGGATGGAGTGTGTGTCATCAGGTCAGGATGGAGTGGGTGTCATCAGTTCAGGGTGAAGTGGGTGTCATCAAGTCAGGGTGGAGCATGTGTCATCAGGTCAGGTTGGATTGGGTGTCATCAGGTCAGGGTGGAAAGGGTGTCATCAGGTCAGTGTGCAATGGGTGTCATCAGGTCAGGGTGGAGAGGGTGTCATCATGTCAGGATGGAGTGGGTGTCATCAGGTCAGGATGGAGTGGGTGTCATCAGGTCAGGATGGAGTGGGTGTCATCAGGTCAGGATGGAGTGAGTGTCATCAGGTCAGCGTGGAGTTGGTGTCATCAGTTCAGGGTAGAGTGTGTGTCATCAGGTCAGGTTAGAGTGTGTGTCTTTAGGTCAGGATGGAGTGGGTGTCATCAGGTCAGGGTGGAGCATGTGTCATCAGGTCGGGTTGGAGAGGGTGTCATCATGTCAGGATGGAGTGGGTGTCATCAGGTCAGGATGGAGTGGGTGTCATCAGGTCAGGATGGAGAGGGTGTCATCAGTTCAGTGTGGAGTGGGTGTCATCAGTTCAGGGTGGAGTGTGTGTCATCAGGTCAGGTTGGAGTGGGTGTCATCAGGTCAGGTTGGAGTGGGTGTCATCAGGTCAGGGTGGAGTGGGTGTCATCAGGTCAGGGTGGAGTGGGTGTCATCAGGTCAGGGTGGTGTGGGTGTCACCAGGTCAGGGTGGAGTGGGTGTCATCAGGTCAGGGTGGAGTGGGTGTCATCAGGTCAGGGTGCAGTGGGTGTCATCAGGTCAGGTTGGAGAGGGTGTCATCATATCAGGATGGAGTGTGTGTCGTCAGGTCAGGATGGAGTGGGTGTCATCAGTTCAGGGTGAAGTGGGTGTCATCAAGTCAGGGTGGAGCATGTGTCATCAGGTCAGGTTGGAGAGGGTGTCATCAGGTCTGGTTGGCGTGGGTGTTATCAGCTCAGGGTGGAGTGGGTGTCATCAGTTCAGGGTGGAGCATGTGTCATCAGGTCAGGGTGGAGAGGGTGTCATCAGGTCAGGGTGGAGTGTGTGTCATCAGGTCAGGGTGGAGTGGGTGTCATCAGTTCAGGGTGGAGCATGTGTTATCATGTCAGGATGGAGTGGGTGTCATGAGGTCAAGGTGGAGTGTGTGTCATCAGGTCAGGGTGGAGTGTGTGTCATCAGGTCAGGGTGGAGCATGTGTCATCAGGTCAGGGTGGAGAGGGTGTCATCATGTCAGGGTGGAGTGTGTGTCATCAGGTCAGATTGGAGTGTGTGTCATCAGGTCAGATTGGAGTGTGTGTCATCAGGTCAGGGTGGAGTGTGTGTCATCAGGTCAGGGTGGAGTGTGTGTCATCAGGTCAGGGTGGAGTGTGTGTCATCAGGTCAGGGTGGAGCATGTGTCATCAGGTCAGGGTGAAGAGGGTGTCATCAGGTCAGGGCGGAGAGGGTGTCATGTCAGGATGGAGTTAGTGTCATCAGGTCAGGATGGAGTGGGTGTCATCAGGTCAGGATGGAGAGGGTGTCATCAGGTAAGTGTGGAGTTGGTGTCATCGGCTCAAGGTGGAGTGTGTGTCATCAGGTCAGGTTAGAGTGGGTGTCTTTAGGTCAGGGTGGAGTTGGTGTCATCAGGTCAGATTGGAGTGTATGTCATCAGGTCAGGATGGAGTGGGTGTCATCAGGTCAGGATGGAGAGGGTGTCATCAGGTCATTGTGGAGTTGGTGTCATCAGCTCAGGGTGGAGAGTGTGTCTTTAGGTCAGGATGGAGTGGGTGTCATCAGGTCAGGTTGGAGCATGTGTCATCAGGTCAGGTTGGAGTGGGTGTCATCAGGTCAGGGTGGAGCCTGTGTCATCAGGTCAGGGTGGATTGGGTGTCATCAGGTCAGGGTGGAAAGGGTGTCATCAGGTCATGAGGTCAGGGTGGAGTGGTTGTCATCGGGTCAGGGTGGAGTGTGTGTCATCAGGTCAGAGTGCAATGGGTGTCATCAGGTCAGTGTGCAATGGGTGTCATCAGGTCAGGGGGCAGTGGGTGTCATCAGGTCAGGGTGGAGTGGGTGTCATCAGGTCAGGGTGGAGTGGGTGTCATCTGGTCTGGTTGGAGAGGGTGTCATCAGATCAGGGTGGAGTGGGTGTCATCAGGTCAGTGTGCAATGGGTGTCATCAGGTCAGGGTGGAGAGGGTGTCATCATGTCAGGATGGAGTGGGTGTCATCAGGTCAGGATGGAGTGGGTGTCATCAGGTCAGGATGGAGTGGGTGTCATCAGGTCAGGATGGAGTGAGTGTCATCAGGTCAGCGTGGAGTTGGTGTCATCAGTTCAGGGTAGAGTGTGTGTCATCAGGTCAGGTTAGAGTGTGTGTCTTTAGGTCAGGATGGAGTGGGTGTCATCAGGTCAGGGTGGAGCATGTGTCATCAGGTCAGGTTGGAGAGGGTGTCATCATGTCAGGATGGAGTGGGTGTCATCAGGTCAGGATGGAGTGGGTGTCATCAGGTCAGGATGGAGAGGGTGTCATCAGTTCAGTGTGGAGTGGGTGTCATCAGTTCAGGGTGGAGTGTGTGTCATCAGGTCAGGTTGGAGTGGGTGTCATCAGGTCAGGTTGGAGTGGGTGTCATCAGGTCAGGGTGGAGTGGGTGTCATCAGGTCAGGGTGCAGTGGGTGTCATCAGGTCAGGGTGGAGTGGGTGTCATCAGGTCAGTGTGCAATGGGTGTCATCAGGTCAGGGGGCAGTGGGTGTCATCAGGTCAGGGTGGAGTGGGTGTCATCAGGTCAGGGTGGAGTGGGTGTCATCTGGTCTGGTTGGAGAGGGTGTCATCAGATCAGGGTGGAGTGGGTGTCATCAGGTCAAGGTGGAGTGGGTGTCATCAGGTCAGGGTGGAGTGGTGTTGTCAGGTGACGTAGTAGTGAGTCAAGGGAGATAACTGTGACCTACCGGCTGAGATGTGATCCATGTGGAAGTTCAGTGGCATGGAAAGTTTCCTCATGTCAAATGTGTACAGGCTGCAACACAGAGATTACACATACAGGACAACTACATAGAAACACCTTCAGTGTCAACAGCTGGAGGACAGGTGAGATAAATGGCTTTGACTAATGATATTGAAGTTAGTGATATGTATTTTACTTATTGTTAGTGATTGGAGGACAGTGACAAGTGTCGTGGTTAGTGATTAGTGGACAATGACAAGTGTCGTGGTTAGTAACTGGTGCACGGTGACAAGTGTCGTGGTCAGCGACTGGTGGACAGTGACAAGTGTCGTGGTTAGTGATTAGTGGACAGTGACTAGTGTCGTGGTTAGTGATTAGTGGACAGTGACAAGTGTCGTGGTCAGTAATTGGTGGACGGTGACAAGTGTCGTGGTTAGCGACTGGTGGACGGTGACAAGTGATGTGGTTAGTGATTAGTGGACAGTGACTAGTGTCGTGGTTAGTGATTAGTGGACAGTGACAAGTGTCGTAGTCAGTGACTGGTGGACGGTGACAAGTGTCGTGGTTAGCGACTGGTGGACGGTGACAAGTGATGTGGTTAGTGATTAGTGGACTGTGACAAGTGTCGTAGTCAGTGATGGTGGACAGTGACAAGTGTTGTAGTCAGTGACTGGTGGACAGTGACAAGTGTCGTGGTTAGTGACTGGTGGACGGTGACAAGTGTCGTGGTTAGTGACTGGTGGACAGTGACATGTGTCGTGGTTAGTGACTGGTGGACGGTGACAAGTGTCGTGGTTAGTGATTGGTGGACAGTGACAAGTGTCATGGTTAGATACTGGTGGACAGTGACAAGTGTCGTGGTTAGTGACTGGTGGACAGTGACAAGTGTCGTGGTTAGATACTGGTGGACAGTGACAAGTGTCGTGGTTAGTGACTGGTGGACAGTGACAAGTGTCGTGGTTAGATACTGGTGGACAGTGACAAGTGTCGTGGTTAGTGACTGGTGGACAGTGACAAGTGTTGTGGTTAGTGACTGGTGGACAGTGACAAGTGTTGTGGTTAGTGACTGGTGGACAGTGACAAGTGTCGTGGTTAGATACTGGTGGACGGTGACAAGTGTTGTAGTCAGTGACTGGTGGACAGTGACAAGTGTCGTGGTTAGATACTGGTGGACGGTGACAAGTGTTGTAGTCAGTGACTGGTGGACAGTGACAAGTGTTGTAGTCAGTGACTGGTGGACAGTGACAAGTGTTGTAGTTAGTGATTGGTGGACGGTGACAAGTGTTGTAGTCAGTGACTGGTGGACAGTGACAAGTGTTGTAGTCATTGACTGATGGACAGTGACAAGTGTTGTGGTTAGTGATTGGTGGACAGTGACAAGTGTCGTGGTTAGTGACTGGTGGACAGTGACAAGTGTCGTGGTTAGTGACTGGTGGACAGTGACAAGTGTCGTGGTTAGTGACTGGTGGACGGTGGCAAGTGTCGTGGTTAGTGACTGGTGGACGGTGACAAGTGTCGTGGTTAGTGACTGGTGGACGGTGACAAGTGTCGTGGTTAGTGACTGGTGGACAGTGACAAGTGTCGTGGTTAGTGACTGGTGGACAGTGACTGGTGGACAGTGACAAGTGTCGTGGTTAGTGACTGGTGGACGGTGACAAGTGTCGTGGTTAGTGACTGGTGGACGGTGACAAGTGTCGTGGTTAGTGACTGGTGGACGGTGACAAGTGTCGTGGTTAGTGATTGGTGGACAGTGACAAGTGTCGTGGTTAGTGACTGGTGGACGGTGACAAGTGTCGTGGTTAGTGATTGGTGGACAGTGACAAGTGTCGTGGTTAGTGACTGGTGGACGGTGACAAGTGTCGTGGTTAGTGACTGGTGGACGGTGACAAGTGTCATGGTTAGTGACTGGTGGACGGTGACAAGTGTCGTGGTTTGTGACTAGTGGACAGTGACAAGTGTCGTGGTAAGTGACTGGTGGACAGTGACAAGTGTCGTGGTTAGTGACTGGTGGACAGTGACAAGTGTCGTGGTTAGTGACTGGTGGACAGTGACAAGTGTTGTAGTTAGTGACTGGTGGACGGTGACAAGTGTCGTGGTTAGTGACTGGTGGACAGTGACAAGTGTCGTGGTTAGTGACTGGTGGACAGTGACAAGTGTTGTAGTCAGTGACTGGTGGACGGTGACAAGTATCAGGGTCAGACTCACTTGTAGTCTTCGTTGGCCACTGTGAAGGTAAAGGCCTCCATGGGGTTCCAGGCGATGGCATTTGAACACATCTTGAGGATCACCTGCAGAGAAGAGAAAAGTCTCAAAGCAAGTAGTGCAGTGCTCAAACCCAAACACACAAGCTCAATTACAATAACTAAGAACAGAGGGAGCTGTTGGAGGACATGCGGTACTGTGTCGAGGTCAATGATGAAACACCCACCTTCCTGAGAGGAGAAGATCCTCTCATGTCGTACAGCAACACACTGCGGTCCATGCCAGTAGCCCCAAGCAGGTGTGTCTGTCAACATGAGACATAGATACTATGCAATGCTGTATGTGAACACACCAACCTCAACTGACAACCATCAACAGACAAACATGGACTGATCAACACACCCACCTCTACTGATCAACACACTCACCTCTACTGACAAACATCAACAGACAAACATGGACTGATCAACACACCCACCTCTACTGATCAACACACCCACCTCTACTGATCCACACATCCACCTCTACTGATCAACACACCCACCTCTACTGATCAACACACTCACCTCTACTGATCCACACACCCACCTCTACTGATCAACACACTCACCTCTACTGATCAACACACTCACCTCTACTGATCAACACAACCACCTCTACTGATCAACACACTCACCTCTACTGATCCACACACTCACCTCTACTGATCAACACACCAACCTCTACTGATCCACACACCCACCTCTACTGATCAACACACTCACCTCTACTGATCAACACAACCACCTCTACTGATCAACACACTCACCTCTACTGATCAACACACTCACCTCTACTGATCAACACACTCACCTCTACTGATCCACACACCCACCTCTACTGATCCACACACCCACCTCTACTGATCAACACACTCACCTCTACTGATCAACACAACCACCTCTACTGATCAACACACCCACCTCTACTGATCAACACACCCACCTCTACTGATCCACACACCCACCTCTACTGATCAACACACTCACCTCTACTGATCAACACAACCACCTCTACTGATCAACACACTCACCTCTACTGATCAACACACTCACCTCTACTGATCAACACACTCACCTCTACTGATCAACACACTCACCTCTACTGATCAACACACTCACCTCTACTGATCCACACACCCACCTCTACTGATCAACACACTCACCTCTACTGATCAACACACCCACCTCTACTGATCAACACACTCACCTCTACTGATCAACACACCCACCTCTACTGATCAACACACCCACCTCTACTGATCAACACACCCACCTCTACTGATCCACACACCCACCTCTACTGATCAACACACCCACCTCTACTGATCAACACACCAACCTCTACTGATCAACACACCCACCTCTACTGATCAACACACTCACCTCTACTGATCCACACACTCACCTTACTGATCCACACAACCACCTCTACTGATCAACACAACCACCTCTACTGATCAACACAACCACCTCTACTGATCAACACACCCACCTCTACTGATCCACACACCCACCTCTACTGATCAACACACTCACCTCTACTGATCAACACACTCACCTCTACTGATCCACACACTCACCTTACTGATCCACACACCCACCTCTACTGATCAACACACCCACCTCTACTGATCAACACAACCACCTCTACTGATCAACACACCCACCTCTACTGATCAACACAACCACCTCTACTGATCCACACACCCACCTCTACTGATCCACACACCCACCTCTACTGGGTTAAACTTGACATGCTTGATGCTATCGATGCCCCAGTTGAATGTTCGGATTGGTTTTGATCTTGTCTCATCCCATATGTCAACTTGATCTCCGCTTGTTGCGAAGATATTTTCTGACCAGTGGTGGTCCAGGCATTGGAACATTGTCTGCACAACAGACAAAACAGTCAGAACTGAAATAACTGGATCAAATCTAAACTGGTACAAAACTATTCTACTTTTATTCTATTCTAATAGTAGTGTATTGCTACATCAAACTATCGCTGCAGGTATATACAAAAGTCACACTGTATCGCTACATGTATGTACTATAATAATAATAGGTCATATATATTGCGCATATTTCAAAAGACACAGGAGCATGCTCAAAGTGCTATTAATACCCCGGTCACTGGATCAGTGTGCGCTCAACACTCATTCTCAGCTCCCTTGGGAGTATACAACCCAAGCTGCCTGTGAGGCACTAGAAGGTTAACAACTATTGACATCTCTTCCTACAGGATGCCCATTCAGTGCTGGGTGAACAGACGCACATCGCGAACAAAGTCACTTCCCCAAAGAGACGCCACATGGGGCAGGACTATAGCCCTAGCCATAGCCCACTGTATCACTACATGTATATATACTACAGTTAAACTGTATTGCTACACGTATATACTACAGTCACACTATCGCTACAAGTATATACTACAGTCACACTATTTATACTCAACAACAAAAGTTCCTGTGATACCAATGTTTTAGTGTATTTTTCAAACAAGTAAAGTTTGGTTTTCAATATTGTAGTACATGTATGGAATCAAGTCACAAAAACGCAACTGCTACAGAAAAGCATGCATTTCACTACCCAAGAATGGGTATAAAAACCTGTGCATTAACTGGGTTCTATATGCATTGTTGAGCATCGTGCTGACAACAACCACTAAGAAAAACAACAAAATTACGCAATTATTCAACATTATGAAATGCTACGCTTGTCCAAAAATGAGTGTGTGCGAGCCATTGGTATACTTCAAGCAGGATCAAGTCAACGTGATGTTGCAAGACAATTTAACGTCCACAGAAACACCATTTGGTGTTTATGGCAATGTTGGCAACAGATGAATGCAGTCAGAGACCATCCTCGGAGTGGCAGGCCACACGTAACCAATAATTGCGAGACAACTGGATTCGAACAACACACGAAATCGATTCCAGCCAGGAACAGTGACTCAAGAAGCATCCCTGGTCTTTGACGAATATCTTCACAAACCGTATGTCGCCGCCTCAGGTGTGCAGGGATTGTCGCCAGAAGACCTGCCAGACATCCCATTTTGACAGGAAACCGTCGTCAAGCACGTCTACTGTGGTGCAGACAGTGTCTGAGCTGGATGGCAGACTGTATCGCTACATGCATATACTACAGTCAAACTCTATTGCTACATGTCTATACTTCACACTATCGCTACATGTGTTGAGGACCCAGTGACACTGCTCACCTTCCCCAGGATGATGTTTAAGGGCTCCTCTTCTACTCCCCCTTCCGCCGTCATCTGCCACTGCTTGATGGTGCTGTCTGCCCCGCACTGACAACACACAGTTCAGGGGGTGGTTAGTATCACACAGCAGATCATAAATAGTCACAAGTTGTCACACAAGAGATCATAAATAGTCACAAGTTGTCACACAACAGATCATAAATAGTCACAAGTTGTCACACAAGAGATCATACATAGCTTTTTCTAAAGACACATGACTGTCCAACATTCCCACCAACAACACCAGTGTCCACAAGGCCTTCTAAGTGATGTCATGGCGACCTGGGTTAGGTTTGTCAGCAATATTCCGGCCATGTGACAAACTGTGAGGTAGGAAGAATAGGATATGAGAACAGGAGAAAGCCATAACGCACTAGTGTAACCATGGTTACATACTGTAAAGAAGTAAGGCTGTGAGTGATGACAGTCGAGTCCGTGGACGAAGCCCTCGTGTGCTTGAATGGTGGTCGCACAGTCACGTTTGGCCAGATTCCACACCCGGACCTGAAGCAAACAAACACAAACATCTACAACAGAAAGAGAGTTGGGGATTTTACTAAAATCCTCTAATTGTTAACTCTACTAATGTGACGTATCTGATAAACGTAGCATCATGATTCAATAAATATACAAATAGTAAGCTGTTTACGTAGATGTGGGATTCATTTCTGATCAAAACGCTTGTATTGTACAGCTCATGTGTGTTGTATTACAGTTCATCTGTAAAGTAGTGTACAGCTCGTGTGTAAAGTAGTGTACAGCTCGTGTGTAAAGTATTGTACAGCTCGAGTGTAAAGTAGTGTACTGCTCGCGTCTAAAGTAGTGTACAGCTCGCGTCTAAAGTAGTGTACAGCTCGTGTAAAGTAGTGTAAAGCTTGTGTGTAAAGTAGTGTAAAGCTCTTGTGCAAAGTAGTGTACAGCTCGCGTCTAAAGTAGTGTACAGCTCGTGTCTAAAGTAGTGTACAGCTCGTGTAAAGTAGGGTAAAGCTTGTGTGTAAAGTAGTGTAAAGCTTGTGTGTAAAGTAGTGTACAGCTCGCGTCTAAAGTAGTGTACAGTGCTTGTGTAAAGTGAGGTGAAATTGGGTTAAACGTCGCGTCCAAGATTATTGCACTTATATAGCGACGTGCATGCACGTGTATGTGTGTGTGTGGCTGCTTGTACTAGTCCGGACTGATGCCGATTTATAGTGCTAGCTCACTGAGATACCATGCCGCAGTTTAACATGAATACCCCACTCAGACACAGTATACTGACTCCGAGCCGACCAGTCCTTGTTTTAGCCCCTTAATGCCGAGCGCCAGACAGGGTAACAACAAGTACAATCTTTTAACGTCTTTTTGTATGACGCGGCCCGGGATCGAACCCTGGACCTCCCACTCTCCGGGCGGACGCTCTACCACAAGACCACAGAGGCGGTCTTGTGTAAAGTGGTGTACAGCTCGTGTGTAAAGTAGTGTACAGCTCGTGTGTAAAGTAGTGTAAAGCTCGTGTGTAAAGTAGTGTACAGCTCGTGTGTAAAGTAGTGTACAGCTCGCGTCTAAAGTAGTGTACAGCTCGTGTAAAGTAGCGTACAGCTCATGTGTAAAGTAGTGTACAGCTCATGTGTAAAGTAGTGTACAGCTCATTTGTAAAGAAGTGTACAGCTTGTGTGTAAAGTACTGTACAGCTCATGTGTACAGTAGTGTACAGCTTGCGTCTAAAGTAGTGTACAGCTCGTGTGTAAAGTAGTGTACAGCTCGTGTGTAAAGTAGTGTACAGTTGTGTGTACAGTTGTGTGCAAAGTAGTGTACAGTTGTGTGTAAAGTAGTGTATAGTTGGTGTGTAAAGTAGTGTACAGTTCATCTGTAAAGTAGTGTACAGCTCGTGTGTAAAGTAGTGTACAGCTCGTGTGTAAAGTAGTGTACAGTTCATCTGTAAAGTAGTGTACAACTCGTGTGTAAAGTAGTGTATAGCTCCTGTGTAAAGTAGTGTATAGCTCGTGTGTAAAGTAGTGTACAGCTCGGGTGTAAAGTAGTGTACAGTTCATCTGTAAAGTAGTGTACAGCTCGTGTGTAAAGTAGTGTACAGCTCGTGTGTAAAGTAGTGTATAGCTCGTGTGTAAAGTAGTGTACAGCTCGTGTGTAAAGTAGTGTATAGCTTGTGTGTAAAGTAGTGTACAGCTCGTGTGTAAAGTAATGTACAGTTGTGTGTAAAGTGGTGTATAGCTCGTGTGTAAAGTAGTGTACAGGTCGTGTGTAAAGTAGTGTACAGTTGTGTGTAAAGTAGTGTACAGCTCGTGTGTAAAGTAGTGTACAGCTCGTGTGTAAAGTAATGTACAGTTGTGTGTAAAGTGGTGTATAGCTCGTGTGTAAAGTAGTGTACAGGTCGTGTGTAAAGTAGTGTACAGTTGTGTGTAAAGTAATGTACAGCTCGTGTGTAAAGTAGTGTACAGTTCATCTGTAAAGTAGTGTACAGCTCGTGTGTAAAGTAGTGTACAGCTTGTGTGTAAAGTAGTGTATAGCTCGTGTGTAAAGTAGTGTACAGCTCGTGTGTAAAGTAGTGTACAGTTGTGTGTAAAGTAGTGTACAGCTCGTGTGTAAAGTAGTGTACAGTTGTGTGTAAAGTAGTGTACAGTTGTGTGTAAAGTAGTGTACAGCTCGTGTGTAAAGTAGTGTACAGTTGTGTGTAAAGTAGTGTTCAGTTGTGTGTAAAGTAGTGTATAGTTGGTGTGTAAAGTAGTGTACAGCTCGTGTGTAAAGTAGTGTACAGCTCGTGTATTGAGTTGTAAGAGTTCGGTTGTAATGAATACCTCGCCATCACAGGAGCCAGACAGAAGTGTGGAGACGCTGCTTGGATGTTTGCACAGTCGGGTCACACCATCACGATGGCCGTCTAATGACCCGAGGAAGGGTTTGGCGAACACACGCTCCAACTTGGTGGCGTTCACAGCTCGGACATACTCACGTCCAGTTTCAAACGGGTGAAGGCTGGGGTCATAATTTCTAGGCACTGAAACATGGTCATATATCACATCTATTATATTCAAACATCACCCTAGTTTAGTACTAATGGACATTTATGGAAACTGTCCAAACAATACTGTCCACATCATCTACTCAAGTTGTAGACACCCCTAACTACATAATGGTTTATTCTTCACAACATTAGACACCACTAACAATATAATGGTTTATTCTTCACAACATTAGACACCCCTAACTACATAATGGTTTATTCTTCACAACATTAGACACCACTAACAATATAATGGTTTATTCTTCACAACATTAGACACCCCTAACTACATAATGGTTTATTCTGCACAACATTAGAAACCACTAACTACATAATAGTTTATTCTGCACAACATTAGACACCGCTAACTACATAATGGTTTATTCTGCACAACACAAGACACCCCTTACTACATAATGGTTTATTCTGCACAACATTACACACCCCTAATTACATAATGGTTTATTCTGCACATCAATAGCCACCCCTAACTACATAATGGTTTATTCTTCACATCAATAGCCACCCCTAACTACATAATGGTTTATTCTGCACAACATTAGAAACCACTAACTACATAATGGTTTATTCTGCACAACATTAGACAACCCTAACTACATAATGGTCTATTCTGCACAACACAAGACACCCCTAACTACATAATGGTTTATCCTTCACCTCAATAGCAACCCCTAACTACATAATGGTTTATTCTGCACAACATTAGACACACTCAAATACATAATGGTTTATTCTGCACAACATTAGATACCCCTAACTTCAAAATGGTTTATTCTGCACAACATAATACAGCCCTAACAACAAAATGGTTTCTTCTGTACAACATTAGACACCCCTTACTACATAATGGTTTATTCTGCACAACATTAGATACCCTCAAATACATAATGGTTTATTCTGCACAACATTAGAAACCACTAACTACATAATGGTTTATTCTGCACAACATTAGACACCCCTAACTACAAAATGGTTTATTCTGCACAACATTAGACACACTCAAATACATAATGGTTTATTCTTCACATCAATAGACACCCCTTACTTCATAATGGTTTATTCTGCACAACATTAGCCACTCTCAAATACATAATGGTTTATTCTCCACTACACAAACACCCCAAACTACTTAATGCTTTATTCTGCGCAACATTACACACCCCTAACTACATAATGGTTTATTCTACACAACATTAGACACCCCTCACTACATAATGGTTTATTCTTCACATCATTAGACACCCCTAACTACATAATGGTTTATTCTGCATAACATTAGACACCCTCAAATATACTGAACAACAAAAGTTCCTGTGACATTGAATAAGATTTAATGCAAAGTTATGTTTTAACCAAATCTGAAACAACTTCGGTTTGGAACAGATAAAAGACTCCTGTAAGTGTTCAAATGGTTTAATTTGCCATACTGACTTCAGAAAATGCATGATTTCATAAAAAAAACATGAACATGCCAAAATGTCAATTTACAAATCAATAGCGTGTGTGTCCAACTCTGATTGCGATGCAAGCAACACATCTTCGTCTCATGGAATGGACCAGGCGTCGCACAAAGTCCTGTGAGATATCTGTCCACATCGCGTCGATCCATCTCATCCCACATGTGCTCGATTGGTGAGAGATCAGGGGAGCGAGCCGGCCAGGGGATGACATTCACGTTGTTTTGTTGAAGTGATTCCTGAACAAGTCCAGCAATATGAGGCCGGGCGTTGTCATGTTGAAAGGTTATGTCTGGGCCATGACGAGGCAAAAACGGTAGAACAACAGGGCCGATGATCTCGTCGCTGTAGCGCTTTCCATTGAGATTTCCCTCTACCACTATCAAACAGATCCTCTGTCTTGCTTTAAACCCAACCCATACCATAACGCTGCCGCCCCTGACATGACACAATGATTGACGTAACGTTCACCTCGACATCGGTACACTCGAATCCGTGCATCGCTGTGGCTGAGGTGAAAACGAAACTCGTCAGTGAATACAACTTGTCCCCACTGCATGGCCGTCCAGCGTAGACGCTGTCTGCACCACTGTAGACGTGCTAGACGGTGGTTTCCTGTCAAAATGGGATGTTTTCTGGCCACAATCCCTGCACATCTGAGGCGGTGACGTACGGTTTGTGAAGATATTTGTCGAAGGCCAGGGATGCTTCTTGCAGTCACTGTTGCTGGCAGCAATCCATTTCGTAGGTGTGTTTTTCAAATCCAGTTGTCTCGTCAATTATTGGTTACGCCTGCCACTCCGAGGATGGTCTCTGACTGCATTCCTCTGTTGCCAACGTTGCCATAAACACCAAATGGTGTTTCTGTGGACGTTAAACTGTCTTACAACATCAAGTTGACTCGATCCTGCTTCAAGCATACCAATGGCCCGCAGACGCTCTTTTTCAAATCCTTTCATGTTTTTAATCAAGGTGCTCTGATCTCGTGATCTCGTGAGGGTTGTTTGCTCTAATTGCTGTCTAGAGCCATGGTAGAGACTACAGCTCTGATCTCGTGAGGGTTGATTGCTCTAATTGCTGTCTAGAGCCATGGTAGAGACTACAGCTCTGATCTCGTGAGGGTTGTTTGCTCTAATTGCTGTCTAGAGCCATGGGAGAGACTACAGCTCTGATCTCGTGAGGGTTGATTGCTCTAATTGCTGTCTTGAGCCATGGTAGAGACTACAGCTCTGATCTCGTGAGGGTTGATTGCTCTAATTGCTGTCTAGAGCCATGGTAGAGACTACAGCTCTGATCTCGTGAGGGTTGTTTGCTCTAATTGCTGTCTAGAGCCATGGGAGAGACTACAGCTCTGATCTCGTGAGGGTTGATTGCTCTAATTGCTGTCTTGAGCCATGGTAGAGACTACAGCTCTGATCTCGTGAGGGTTGATTGCTCTAATTGCTGTCTAGAGCCATGGTAGAGACTACAGCTCTGATCTCGTGAGGGTTGTTTGCTCTAATTGCTGTCTAGAGCCATGGTAGAGACTACAGCTCTGATCTTGTGAGGGTTGATAGCTCTAATTGCTGTCTAGAGCCATGGTAGAGACTACAGCTCTGATCTCGTGAGGGTTGATTGCTCTAATTGCTGTCTAGAGCCATGGTAGAGACTACAGCTCTGATCTTGTGAGGGTTGATTGCTCTAATTGCTGTCTAGAGCCATGGTAGAGACTACAGCTCTGATCTCGTGAGGGTTGTTTGCTCTAATTGCTGTCTAGAGCCATGGTAGAGACTACAGCTCTGATCTTGTGAGGGTTGATTGCTCTAATTGCTGTCTAGAGCCATGGTAGAGACTACAGCTCTGATCTTGTGAGGGTTGTTTGCTCTAATTGCTGTCTAGAGCCATGGTAGAGACTACAGCTCTGATCTCGTGAGGGTTGTTTGCTCTAATTGCTGTCTAGAGCCATGGTAGAGACTACAGCTCTGATCTTGTGAGGGTTGATTGCTCTAATTGCTGTCTAGAGCCATGGTAGAGACTACAGCTCTGATCTCGTGAGGGTTGTTTGCTCTAATTGCTGTCTAGAGCCATGGTAGAGACTACAGCTCTGATCTTGTGAGGGTTGATTGCTCTAATTGCTGTCTAGAGCCATGGTAGAGACTACAGCTCTGATCTTGTGAGGGTTGTTTGCTCTAATTGCTGTCTAGAGCCATGGTAGAGACTACAGCTCTGATCTCGTGAGGGTTGTTTGCTCTAATTGCTGTCTAGAGCCATGGTAGAGACTACAGCTCTGATCTTGTGAGGGTTGATTGCTCTAATTGCTGTCTAGAGCCATGGTAGAGACTACAGCTCTGATCTCGTGAGGGTTGTTTGCTCTAATTGCTGTCTAGAGCCATGGTAGAGACTACAGCTCTGATCTTGTGAGGGTTGATTGCTCTAATTGCTGTCTAGAGCCATGGTAGAGACTACAGCTCTGATCTTGTGAGGGTTGTTTGCTCTAATTGCTGTCTAGAGCCATGGTAGAGACTACAGCTCTGATCTCGTGAGGGTTGTTTGCTCTAATTGCTGTCTAGAGCCATGGTAGAGACTACAGCTCTGATCTTGTGAGGGTTGATTGCTCTAATTGCTGTCTAGAGCCATGGTAGAGACTACAGCTCTGATCTCGTGAGGGTTGTTTGCTCTAATTGCTGTCTAGAGCCATGGTAGAGACTACAGCTCTGATCTCGTGAGGGTTGTTTGCTCTAATTGCTGTCTAGAGCCATGGTAGAGACTACAGCTCTGATCTTGTGAGGGTTGATAGCTCTAATTGCTGTCTAGAGCCATGGTAGAGACTACAGCTCTGATCTTGTGAGGGTTGATAGCTCTAATTGCTGTCTAGAGCCATGGTAGAGACTACAGCTCTGATCTTGTGAGGGTTGATAGCTCTAATTGCTGTCTAGAGCCATTGTAGAGACTACAGCTCAGATCTCGTGAGGGTTGATTGCTCTAATTGCTGTCTAGAGCCATGGTAGAGACTACAGCTCTGATCTCGTGAGGGTTGATTGCTCTAATTGCTGTCTAGAGCCATGGTAGAGACTACAGCTCTGATCTCGTGAGGGTTGTTTGCTCTCGGTGGATCAAGGTTAGCAGTCTTGAAAGCCTGCTGGATGACTGTGTGTAACCATAGAGATAGGGTGTTGCGACTTACTTCAGTCATGGACATGGACTCTGGAATGAATAACCAATTCCGTGAGTGACGCCTTGTTTGGGAGAGAGCTCGTAGTGCGTGCACTGGGCACAAGAGGAGTTTATCCTTATCATCGACCCCACAATTATCGCGTTTGGTTGGATGGTTAAGGAACGATCAAGTTGGCCTGGAAGATGATGTTTTCTCGCTATGAAAAAACCCCAGCACAACCAAGATCTTGATTCTTTGCCTTATAAAAAACCTGTACACTACACAAGCATGTGTAATGCAAAATTAAAAGTTGTAGTTGAGATAGACTTGAGCATGCCAATGAAAATCACACATGGTACGATCAGCAAAAAGTTACAAGTTTT